AATGAACGAGAGAGTTACTCATTAAAACTACCTAAGTCGAAACTTTTCTTTTATCCCTAAAAGAGCCCGCTGGAGGATTGCTTTGCTTTCTAACATCTCTTTCTGTTATCAAAATGCTTCTTTAGCACTAGGCGTCTAGTAAGCGATAGCTATCGCTTACCTAGACAAAGGCCGAAGCACCACAGACACACTTCAAGCACAAACTCGTATTTGTAAATAAATCTAGTTAGAACGGCCTCGGCCAAAGTCTTACATAGCCTCGAGCTCACTAGACTCTAATGGAACAATAATAATTACTAAGTAGAGTGGTCTGTGTGTTTTTGTTTTAAGTGTAAGACGTGTCTTAACTATCTACTCTTATAGCTTATAGCTCCACAGCGCGCACACTGCACGTCTTAAAACTTGCTATAATTAGTTTCTTGTAAGGGATTTGTATATATTTAACAAAAATTACACCTATTCTAGAAAACTTGACGTTGGTGTTTTTTGATGTAGTCACTTCCTTAAGTCTTCTTATATAATAGCTAATTATAGGATGTAGGCTAATAGCTAGGTTAACGCCTTACGTTTTTACACGAATAGTAGAGTTAACAACACTATTGTTATGGGCGAGAGAGGCCTAACTGACGAGTATGCATTCACCTATTGTACAGAAGAAGAAAGATACAGAAAAGAACTATCTAGAGGGCCCTCCTTTTATAGTTGTTACTCGTACAAACGCTTAGACCTTTAGTCTTCCTCCTTACTTAAGCTTGTTCATACGTAACTAACCACGTTATTTAGTCACGTGACTAAAGTCATGTGATTCACTGCCATGTAACCTGTAGGTCATGCCTCTCTAGCGTAGCCCTTTACAATACTCCCCTCCTTCACCTTGTCCAATATCACGTGCGTATTCCTTAGTCTTCTTTTCCTTTCTCTCCGTCCGTTTGCTATCACATGTTTGGCGTCTCGTATAGTTAAGGTAAAGGCAAATAGTGAAGGTAAGAGAGAGTTAGGCAATGGTGCTATATAGCAAACGCTGTCTGGTGAGCATAAATACTCTTCTTCCCCTGCCTACTGCTTATTTCCTCTATCCCTTTAGCTTTAACTTTTCTCTTATTATAGTCACTTCCTTAAGTCTTCCTGTATAATAGCTAATTGTAGGATGTAGGCCAACGGCTAGGTTAACGCCTTACGTTTCTGCACAAACAGTGGAGTTAACAACACTATTAAGCAGGCAACTGCTTAGATCTTTAACGTTGCTTATTAGTTGCTCACTCGTACGACGCTAGGTGCCATCTAGGCCGCAGCGCCTGTTATTATTAGATAGGTTAACCTTAATAACTACTAGGTCTAGTACATTTTTAACGTGCGGGTTGCTAAGGAGATTTGCTAAGTGTTCGCTGCTGCTCCTATAAGTGTCGCTTTCTTGTCGTACGTTTGAATTTGCTAACTAGTGTAGCCTAAGCTTTGTTAGGTCTTTAACATGTTCTGCTATCTAAGGGGGCTGTTGCTGTATGATGCTACCTTTAGTCCTAGCCTTAGCAGTTATTCGCCTATTGTTGCCCGTACGACGCTCTATGCCCGTCAAATCTTGGGTGGCCAACTCTTATACCTTAAGGCCTTCCTCGTCCATTCACGTAGCGCCCTTAATGCTATATTTTGCGATAACTGTGCGCTAGTCTTAGACAAGGCGAAGGAGTTTACGGCCTTTGCTAGTTGTGTCTCTATCCATAGAGAGTGGGGTGGTGCGTGTAGCAATTGCATCTAGCAGGACCATGGCGCCTGTTGTACGGCAGGAGGAGGGGACGGTTCGTCCGTCTGTACGCCAGCTAAGCGTCGTCTTCTAGGCACTAAGAGGGATCGTTTGGCCTCTAGGGGTAGCGCCAGGTCTCTGTTGCTTATTAAGTAGCTTTCGCCTCTAGCTATTTTGTAGCCGGCCGTTGGGTTTCCGTATAGAGGAAGTTTGGGCGAGCTATTCGTCTAGGGCCTTCGTGTCTTTAAGTGCTGTAGCTGGTTTTTAACTGCCCTCTAGGTAGCCTATCCAAATGACGAGATATTGCAGTTCTCCATTTCGTATTCGTTCGTCTGTGATGCCTTACACGAGCCATTCTAAATAGTCTTATTCTTCTCCATCTTCTTGTACAACGATAGCCGCAGGGCTGCTATCGTCTATTTGTTGTAATGGCAAGGGGTTGTTAGATGCTGGCCTTAGCTTGTCTACATGGAAGGATTTTGTCTCCCAGGGCACCGCGAGTTCTACCCAGTAGGGGTCCCGTACGCAGGCGACTTAGTACTTTCTACTTTTCTAGTCTAGCTTTTTGCTTGTTTAGGTCGTTTATACGTTGCCTAAGTCTAGCTAGACCTAGTCTCCTACTTTGTAAGCAGGCGATAGTTTGCGAGATTTGTTTGCCTGCTTCTCTTGCTCTTGTTAGGCGTACAACATTGCTGAAACTGCCTAGTTTGCCGCATCACTAATCATACGTACTATCTCTTTAGCTGCTATGCTCGCTTCTTAGTTATCTAAGATAGCTTCTTTTTAGGGAAACGGGGTATTATGGTAACCATAGTGGAGAAAGAAGGGGGATACACCTATAGAGGCGTTCGTATAGGAGTTAAGTATAAGTTCTAGAAAAGAGCAAAGCTAAGCCTAATTATCTTAGTTGTAGTTGCAAAAGATCTATACGACTACTTCTATGTCGCTATTAGCTTATTCTATTATTTTGTCTATTTATAGGTAGTAAGCTATAGAGAGATTCCGCTAAATATTTAGCAGCTTATAGATGTTTTCCTATAGTTAGCTTGCGAACTAGAGGCTATAGTTGGACGTGATAGACTATAGAAGGCTATAGTAGTGGTAGACTTCTCGTACGAAAGCCTAAGCAACGTCTATTATCTTAATCTTATTTTTAGAGACTAGTATAATGCCTTTCCCTAATTAGTTCTTTACTACTATTAAGTTTGTGTTTCTAAGAAAGTTAAGAAGGCCTATAATAAAATTAACTATAAGGTGCTACTACGTATAACTAGGCATAGGTAAAGGCTTTAAGTAACTAAACTTTCTATCCTACTAGGGAGTGCTTTTATAGCATAGCTTATAGTTCTATATGAAGCGTTATATGTTATTACTTATGTAAGGCTAGTACTATTCTTATACAATAATCCAATAGGTCTCTTCTTGTCTAGGATATATAGTTAGAAGAGATAGGTAAGCCACTTAGATAACTCCTATGCGTAATAGTTTAAAGTCTAGTACCCACACACGTCCACGCTATTAAAGTTGTTCTTCTTAGTTAATTATATAGTCACTTAGCGAGATAGCAACCTTGCGCGTGCTAGAGAGTGATTGTCTTCCTTCTTATACAGCAGCTAGTACTTCTTAGTAGATAGTGTTATCCTGCGCTGCCTATACCTAATGTTCTCGTACTAAAGCTAGAAGGTCTAGAGGTTAAAGTAGTGTTTCTAACACTAAGGAGGTTCCTTAAGTCTATATAGGTAGTACTAGGACGTAGTCTAGCGTATAAGCTAGGACTAGCATTGTAAATTCATAAGAGGAGGCATGCTCGTCCTCTGCGTCCTTAAGCATATCTTAATCTTAGCAAGATAGCGCGTCTACTCTTATGTTATCCTTGCCTAGACGATAGCGTAACTTTATATTTAGGAACCAAGTAAGCTCTAAGTTCTATTATACGTGGCGTTTAGACAGCTTCTGCTTGTGGGTGAAGTATTCTAAGTTCTTGTAGTCTATAATGACTTTAAACTCTTGTACGCTATAGAGTTTAGCGTCCTATTCCTTTAAGCAGTAGATTACTACTAGTAGTTCCTTATTATTATTATTATTATTATTCTAGTTTAACGTCCTTTTTCAGCCCAAAGGGCTATATAAGACGTGTAGGGTTTTTAGGCCTACAAGTATTTGAGTAGGCTGTTTCTAGCTACAATATTTAGGAGGGGTTTTAACTAAATAAAGGTGAGGCTTATAGCCTATTAGTTGGTAGGTAGGGGTGGGATAGGGTGGGGGAGGTGTATGGCTACCTGTTACAGGTATTACTCCTCGTTTTCTGTGTTTCCCTTGTACAAGGCTTGTGTCCTAGCCTTTGTTTCTTAAATAAAGGTAATAGTTGCTTCTATACCCTCTTTTGTTTAAAGGAGGATAGGTAGTGATAGATCGCCTTTGCAGGCTTCTCTTAGTCCTTTCCTTTTCTCTCTATATAGATTACATCTAAATAGAATATAAGGTAGGTCTTGTATAGACCTATAGTTGCAGGGGCAACTATTAGAATCCACTTTCCCTCTCTTATATAGGTAGTCCCTTAGGTAATAGTGTCCTAGTTTAAGTTAGTAGAAAGCGCTTAAAATCTCTCTTCTAGTATTGCTAGGAATAGCAATTTGCTTTCTTAT